GAAGGCTCTAGACCCCACTTGTGGTAGTGAGGTACAAGCGGGCTTGTGCATAATAGGCACAGTAGGAAGTCAGAGAGGATGGAGCTGTAGATTAACATCCTCTTGGATTTTAATTTATAAGAGAAGAAAGATTTTATTTATTTTGAACGTTAATTTCTCTCTGGGTACTTATTAATAAAAGATTCATATTCGAATACATACCAGCACTTGGGGCCTTTTATGTTATGAAGGAATGCATGTTGATGACTGCTGAGCTACTTTAGAAATTCCGCTGGATGGGGAGGGGTGGGGAAGTGACTGGCTTAGGGCACAGTGAAACCCAAATATGAATGATTGATGGATCAGTTCTATCCAAAGCCATGTGAATTAGACCTTGTCGGGGTCCCAGGAAGAGGACAGAAAAGACAGTGGTTCTCCAAAGCTCAGGGACCTTGGGCAGCACTGTAGTCCCAATCTTTTGTGACTTATCTTTCTTCATCTCCCACCACCCTACCACCACTGTTGGGAATGAAAGTCTGCCTGGGTGGCAAGCCACAGATAAACCCCTCTTGGTGCAGAGGCCACCTACTGCACTTTCATCTCGATGTAGACCTCTTGGTTTCTATGCAGGAATAACAAAGAAGCTCTTGCCATGAGCTTCATTCTTCCCTCTGGTCCTGTGCTCAGAGGTCAAGCTTAAGGCCAAGATCCTTGAGTTCAGCCAGTGGCCAGGCAACTCCATAGAAATGAGTCTTGTGCCGCTCCCCACAAAATGACTGGAAGGCAGAAGAGAGACTATGTTTTGGCCACCAAACAGACACACCATTAATATTTTAGCTGCATTTCTTTTTCCCAAGTGGAAATTGGTAGAAATTGGCAAGGATTTGTAGGAATGTATGAATTATGCGTGAGCAGATCTGATTTGGAGCTTAGATCTGCTGCCGTCTAAGTGGTGTCTGTCTACCTTGTACTCTCTGCTGGATTCTAGCCTCTCATATGAGGCGAAGTCTGTACAATCAGCAGCAAAAAGCATCTAAAACGACACTGTTGCTTTTAGATAAGAGGCGTGGGGGATCCAAGATGGAGGTGTCATCTATAAGCAGTAACCACAAGACTCCCAAACTGCCAACTCCTCACCTGGAACAATGAGTAGTATGATTTTGTTGTTTATAAATTATATAGTGTAAGGTGTTTGTTTACAATATGAATGAACTAGGACAGAGCCTACCATCTCTTGGATAACACCCAGCCATAAGCCATGATTCTTGAGGCAGCAATATGAACAAAAAGGTGTGACTTCCTGAAGGTGGGGACAAGGCTACAGTCACTCTCAGTAGTTTCCTCTTCCTAGTGGCCACAGGTTTAGTGCTAAGGTCCAAGGTTAGAAATAAATTTGTGGATGTTGGAGAACAGGTTTGCTTGTTTTGTTTCCTCTTTTCCATTCTCACCTTTTCGTAGGAAAGGTAAGTTCTGTTTCCTCTCCCCTATGAGGGCAACATTGGGTTGTTCTTATATATCCTGGTATGCACCTTTCTCAACCTTTACCATGGAGGCATAATGCAGCCATGTGTAGGATGGCAGCTGGCAATATTTTCACTTGATATGTGTCCACTTAGTGACACAGACCTAAGACTTTTGTTTTTACTCTTGGTCCCTCAGCCGGCTGCTCAGAGTCATTGTGTGGAGTCACTGCCAGGAAGTGGCTGCCTAGCTAGGGAATAGTTTTCTAGGCTTCCACTATTATCCTTACATTTAGAAATCTACAATCAAGTCTTGGTCAAGGTTTTCAAGCAATGGGTAAGTATCCTTCACACCCCTTCTTCCTTCTGGCTAAGTATGGGAGATGACACACGTGTGGGTGATGAGCCACAAGGTCACCGTCTTGGGAGGAGGTACCTGGCTGGAGCATGTCTTAAATTATCACCTCGCAGGAAACAGATCTGATTTGTAGTTGAGGCATTATACATCTTTTTGTGTATTCCTTCCAGTAGTCTTGTATGGCTCCAGTGAATTCTAATGAATGTGCTGTATGGGTGAATTAGACCCCCAAGTCTCCAAATAATTGCAGAAGGACTTAGTAGGAGTGCGCCTTTCACATGAAAATGTGTTTCCATGATTAAATTTGAAGGAAGAATCTAAGACTTTTGATTTGGCCTCTGGTAAGGTTTCCAAAATCATTTTGGATAGCTTTATTCTTCCAAGGTCATTGACACTTAGCTTGTTCAATAGGAAAAAAAAGAAAAGAAAATATACTTCCCACTGCTTCTCTGTTGGTCTAGTCTTCGTTGACTGGAATCATGACTGGGGTGGGGGTTGGTATGTGATTGCTACCTCAACTTTCAACTGCCCTTTTTGGAGACATAAAGCATGAGAATGGAAAAGCAATGCTTGTTTAGAACTATGCTTTTCGTGGGACAGTTTGTCAGTCAAGGAGCTAGGAAACAGATCCATCCCACTCCAAAGACAAGCATGGTGTTGAAGGCAGAGGCATGGACTTAAAGTGTGGATGCTAAAACACCTACGCCAGAGGCCCAAGGAATACAAACAGACTAGCAGGCTGAATGCTTCAATGGGATGATAGACATAAGCGATCACAGGTGAGCTAATTGCTGGAGTGACATTTAGAATACTTTGTAGAATCCACAAGTGTTATTCATGACCTGGATTTTTCCCCATTGAAATGTCTTTTTGGCATCACAGTTTCCCTTACGGACAGACCGTTCCAGTTAAGGCAAGGTAACCCGTTGGGGCAAATAGTCATGACTTAGGGAGCAAATGAGTTACTCCTTGTTCCAGTATACCTGATTTTTTTTTTACTCTTCCTCCCTCCCTCCTTCCCTATGTCTGTGAAGCTGGTAGCCCAGATTTTAAATTGCTGATTAGGGCAATACTTCAAAGCACAAGTCATAGTAACCAGGCCCACTTAAGGAAGAGAAGCTGCCAGCATGTGGGAAGAAATCTGCACAAAATACAAGTGTATATATAGATATTTTTGCAACAAAAGAAACTATTTATTTGGAATCTGCATTACCAGTACAAATTAGGAGACTGTAAAACCTACATCATGTTAGTATCATTAGAGAACACAAAAGTTCAGCTGGAATCGAAGGGGACAGAAGCCTGTGCTCTCACAGAAGCAGAAAAGCTTAAACTTTCAAAACCAAAGTAGAGCCGAGCTTTGCAGGTTTATACTCTCAATAATAAGGGGAAGGGGGGAGGGGATAAAACCAACAACCAAAGGAAAACACTTCAAAATGAAACCCCCAAAAGGAAGAAGTAATAGAGAGAAAGAGGGGAAAACATTCAATGTTTTATTTATTTTAAGAAAAGGAAAAAAAAGGTTTACAAATAAAATAAAATAAAGTAAATTTCCAGCAAGCTTTGAGCTAGGCTGGAAACCACAAAGGTGAGGTGAAAAGGTTGCCTTCTGCCTCTCATGACATAGAAACAAGAGCTTAGCTGTCTCCAGGTGGAAATGCTTCCTATAGCATAGTTCCACAACTCATTTTTTTTTCTTCTTCATGTACTTGACTGGAAGTCCGTCTGCTTTCTGAACACCTGAGTGTTTGAATGAGCGATGTCCAAAACTGAATGTCTGTCCAACAATATGGCTTTCTTTTTCCCTATAACGAAGATGAGCTTTCCAATGAGGCCTGCTTTGTGATTTAAAGAGCCAACCAATGCACCATCAGTGAATAAACCAAGAGGGACTCTGGATCCCAAGCAGGTGGACCCAGGAACTGCTTCTTTGATCTATTCCACATGGTAATGGTTCCTATCATGGCAGCTCCACCTGTGGAGTTCTGCTGTGAGAAAGCTCTAGTCTTGTTGGAAGCATTCTTGTGCACTGTTGATGTTAATTCGGGAAAAAGGAAGCCCTTGATTGGGACATTCAGAATCAACAAAGGCAAAAAAGCCTTTCCTTCCAGCATAAGAAATCCCCTGGACAGACTCAGTGAGGTCTTAGCGAAGCAAGTCCCTGCCTCATTATCACAGGGACTACAAGGACTGCCACACACACACACACACACATGCAAGAGAGCAGGAGCATGCGGGCATGGTTTTTATCATTGCTTTTGACATCGACTGAAACAAAGAAAGAACAAGGAGGCAGCCTCTTCTACCAGCGACCCCTTTTCACATCACCTCGTATACATATTTAAGAAATAAAACTGGCAAGACCCACAAACCTGACAGTGAAAATAAGTACTCCCTCCCCTCAAAGAAACAAAACCAAAAGTAACACAAAAACAAACCTCCTTCTCTTTTTGTATTTTTAAGAGCAGGAGTAAAGAAAAGAAAAGAATTTATTTTTCTGGGTCTCAAAATTAATAAACATGATGTGTTAGGTTGTAGCTATTATGTTCACTATTCCAACATTATTTTTTCTTTTTTTTTTTTCCTTTTTCTTTTTTTAGTTTACAAAATGAATTACGGTCACTTTTAAACATTGTGAAAGAAGAAATGGATATACACAACTTGACACTTTTCTAGCATTCTTGAACTAATTCACAAATGCAAGAAAATAAAAAAGAAAAATGGAGGAAATGAGGAACATAGGTAGTTTGGTGTTAAAAACTAATGCAGGAATGATGTGTATTGTCACAGAGAGGAGGGACACTTCCCCTTCCTGTTTTGCGTGCTATGAGGGTCATTTTTAAAATTTTTTTATTATAAACACTATTAAATTCAGACCGCTTTTTTGGTTTTTTTTTTTCTTTATCTGAATATACAAGAACATTCATTATCAAATGTTCATCATCAGGTACTACAAAGAACGAGACACAAGTCGCAAGAAACAATGGAAAATGTTAATAAAGCTGAAAGACTTGTTGAGGTTTTTTTTTTTTTGCTTTTTTTTCTAAGTTTTTTTCTTTTTAAATTTGAGTTTCTGTAGTTTCATCTTTTTTTGGTATCGAAGTCAGGTTTTTCTGGGCAGAAAAATCAAAAAGGAAGAAGAAAGAGGTGAAGGTAGGTGTGAAAAAAGGCAACCAAAATAATAATAATACGGTACCACTACCACAGGGAAAGAAGTAGAAAGAAGGTGCCAGTGGGCTCAATGGGCTCCTGATACCCAGGAGCCCATTCTCCAGCAGGAACAGGAGGAGGAGGAGGGGGGCGATTAAAAGTGTACACAGTGGCAAACCCAAGGTCTGCTACCATTTCTCAGAGAAAACTGCTGTTGTGGAAAATGGAGCACTCCCCCTTGTACGGGAGACCATGAAGAAATCCCGGGGCACTTTTTTTAGGGGCTCTGAGGGATTTAGCTGACAGGAATTCCTAGGGAGTTGAGTTTCTAGAGGCTTACTCTTTCCACTCCTAGCCCGAGGCTGCCAGCTTTTCCTAGCCTTGCTTGGCCACAGAGTTCTGGTGGCTGCCCTGTTGGAGGGTGACAGTGGGCACGGAGACAGGCTACAGGCTCAGTGTTGGACCTAAAGGTGAAGTGAGGTGCTGGGTCTGCCTGGAGAGAAGCAGCCTGTGTGAGAGCAGCGCCACTTTGACACGCTCCACTCATCCCCTTGCGTTCAGTCCAGATCTGGAGTTACTTGTTTCCAGGAGAACCCTTCCGTAACTCTTACGCTTTGCTCCATGTTAAATGATGTGATCCAACCATGTCTCTGAGTAGTTTCGCTGCATTCCGGCCACAAAAACAAAGACCCCTGGCTCTCGTCACTCTACAGTCTTGTGATGTTGTCCCTTCTAGACACCCTGTTCTGAGCATGGCACAAGGTTAATGGATAGTCTTTCTAGTCAGCTAGACATATGTCCATTTGTCAGACAATTACTTTCCGCATCATCTTCAAATTCTCATCTCAGATTTCCCGGCTTGCATGTCCTACTCCTCCTAACACACATGAAGAACATGTGCATTACTGCAACACCATGTGGAATGTGTATGACCCTGTGGGCTGCTTTCTAAGCCCTCGAGCTCTTGTACTTTTTGCCTGGAAGTCCCTGAAGTAGCTGTGATTGGGACAAGGACTTGCAAGGCCACATATTGGATTCAAGTAGAAACTAATAAAACCAGGTTCTACTCCTCTAGTTTAGAATCTCTTCTCTATCCCAAGAAGACAAACAGACCAAAACCAAATCAGAGCAGGAAGCTCCTGGAACAGCGCTCTGTCATTGTGGTGATGACAACAAGGTACTGATAACAAGCAAACACTGGAACAAGAAAACCATGTACTGTTCTGACCTAGCATGGAATGTTCATCAAAGGCACATTGCTTTCCCTGACCATCAGACTTGGAGGTTACATGTATAAACAGAGCCAGTTTCTTGGGGCTCTTACAAGCCCCTTGGCGAGCCAACCACCATTCCCATTTTACAGATGAAGTGCAGGAGGCCCCAAAGACATCTGACCACATACCACTTAATCCACTGGCAGAACTGCCCTCATTATGTCTGGCAGACTGGAGAAGTTAAGCTCAACTCCAAAGCTAGACTACCTTTCCAGCAAATGTTATTTTCTGTCAACCCCATGGTGCATTGATCACAGTGACCATTTCAACAATAGCCAACAAAAACTATCACCCTATGTATGATTCTTATGTCTTCTATGATTCTTTGAATTAACTAGTAAAAATTATCCACACACCTATCCCACTCTCTTCTCCAGAGAAAGAAGCCAGGATCCATACACATTGGAATTCCTGCGTATGGCTCCCTGAGCGCTCCAGAGGTGGGAGGGATGAAGACAGCTTACACTTGAAATCTGACCTGCACACCCTGCATTCTACTGTGGCCAGTACGGGTTGGTGGGTCCTAGAAGCCCCAGGCACACATTGCTTCTCTCTCAGGCTCACCAGGTAGAGCGGGATGATTGCTATTGTGTGCATCTGCACAGGATGCTGTTGCTGGGAGATCATTTGGGAGGGAGGTGTCAGAGTGAACGCTGCCAGGGTCTTCTGTTGGGAAGAGTGATGAAGGGCTAGTATCATCCTTCCGAGTGAGGCTGTAAGGTTGTGAGTGTGTGCCCACCTGTGCGTTATGAATGTGCGTGCACGTCTATGAAGGGACAGTGAAACCTTTCAGGATGATATGCCTTCACTCTTTACAGACACACTCATCAGGATGGCTCTCTCAGACCTGGCTTGCATGAGGTTCCGAACACTGAATGGCTGAATGGTCTCCACAGACTGTCTCTGAGACCAAGAGCTGTCTCTAATTGGATGAGAGAGCTGGTAGGAATTCTGCCTTTGCTGTTTCTTGCGGCCTCCCCCGCCTGGCTTCCTGCTTCGGACTCAACCTGATAGAATTACTCAGGGACATGTGGCACCTTGAGAAGCCCAGTTATGGCAGTCCCCAACAAACACCGGGGGCCAGAAAGAAGAGGAAGAAATCAGGGTTGTTCCCAGAAAGAAGGGGGAAATGGAAAGAGTGGCCTGGAATGAGTAGGGCAGTGTGGTGTATTCCTGCTAAGAGGTAGTGAGAGTAACAAGAGAGACAGAAGGATTGCCTGTCAGCATAGGGATGAGGGCTCCGAGTGAGGTAAATTTGGCTCCTCAAACCACCAGCATGAAAACATACAAATACGTTTATTGTTTTCTTTGTAATTTGCTTTTCCTTTTTAAATTCCTCTAATTGTGGAAAATATCCTTCAGTGATATAATAGAGGGCAGGAACTTGGGGCATCTAGAACAGAGAACAGGGGCCAGGGAAGATGACAGAAATCAGTCTGACAGCAGGGGGCAGGGGAGGGTGGCTTCTACCCAGAAAAAAAGGGAAGAGAGTATAAAGAAGTGTCCAGATTGGCTGACATAGCATCCCAAAGAAGAGAAGAGAAGGAGACTCTTATTGTGTTTGCTGATTGCTTCGACCTCCAGTCTGACCGCTTCAGCGTTGGGAGAGAAACCCTCCCTCCTGCCCCTGCCCCAACTGCGGCACAGGGTCAGCCGGGATGCGATTGCTGGGAGATCAGTTGGAGGTATCAGAGTGAACACTGCCAGGGCCTTCTGTAGGGGAGGTCACTGATGAAGGGGTAGTAGCATCCTGCCAACCTCCATTAGCCTAGAAGGGAAAAAGGGAGAGAAGTCAGTCCTCTGTGATCAGGTGGCCTTTTTGAGCAGACAATGACAATGAGGCAACTTGTGGGAGAGACTGGCACCTGGCACATGGGGACACTCATAAAATGGGCATATAGGGTTGTGGATGATAATATTTTCCCCACATTCAGTGAGTTCATCCTCCCAGTAAGCCTTTGTATCCAATGCTGACACCTCCCACTTGTGTGAAATGTTAGTATTTCTCCAAGATTCTATAATTCAGTCCCCATCATCTATGGAGTGACAGCTGCCTTCCAGTCAGGAGACCTGAGAGTTCTATTTTGGCTCTAATCTCACCAACAACAAGCCACTGGTGAGGGTTAAGTACCTAAATAGGGTTAGTTTTGGTTTCTCCCCTGAGGAATAAGATGCCTGGCCTAGATACTTTCATGCTTTCTGAAGTGTTTCCCCTCCGCTCTAGCTCTGTATCCTGAGTGTTTATGGGCTGCCAGGTCCTGTTCTATGCCAGGGTCTAGAATCTCTTTGGTATATTGTAATGAGCTAGTATAGTTCATGTACTCAAGAAAGGGGCTAGGAGAAGACCATGAATGACCTGTTATTCAAGTCAGAACCTAACCAGCAGTGAAGCCTATTGTTAAGAAGGTCAGGGCTTCCATGAAGGCAATATTGGGTCTTGTTGGAACACCGGGAACTGATGTATTTGCAGAATATATTGCTATGAAGAGAGAAGGGCGAGACTGGAGTTAGAGGGTTAAACTGGGAGAGGGAGGGGAAAAAGGGGAAAAGGGAGAAATATGGGGAGGGACAACTATCATTAAGGTCCATTTGAGGGACCATATGGAAACCTGAAACTAAAGATAAAAATATATAAAATATATAAATGGAGTCGCCAAATAATGGGGGAGACTGGACATCTATGCCATCAAGGAAAACCTCCAGTGCCAGGCCTAGGTTACATCTACTTGAGTCACTGGCCAGAAGGGCCTCATGAACAATCCCCAAACATCTCAGGCTGCGGCCAAAGCTATCAGTTGCTCTCTACAAACTGATGACAAGGCCCTGTAGATGAAAATAACTCTTGCATATCTCATTGAACAGAGAAATTGACCTGGTAGCTAACTAGAGGCCTCGCCCCCACTGACAAGTATTCACGGTACTAGAAGGTCCTCTGCATGTTACCAAAGGAGAAAGATAATTCTCAACCCAGCTATGAACCCTGTGACCTACATTAGTGACCTGCCTACAAGATATGCTGATATAATAGTGGCACAGATGTTATGAAAGTAACCAATCACTCTGAATTTAAGGCCTACTCCATAAGATAGAGCTCATGCCTTGACATTGTCTAGAACCCATGTTCTAGACATAGCTATGATGGCCAAGAACGTGAAACTGGATAGGCCATAGGCCCAGGGGAAAAACAAATACTATTGTTTTGCTAAAGAAATAGAGCAATGCAAGAACTTCTAGTGACATTCTTCTGTACCCATAGATCAGTGGCTTGCACATTCATCATCAGGGATGCTTCTACTTGCATCAGATGGTAACTGACACACAGACCCACAACTTGGACAATGTACAGAGCTGACAGATTTTTGGAACACTCAGTCCTAAACGGGATGTCTTCATCAAACCTTCCTCTTAGGGGTCAGAGCCCTATGTGAAGAGGAGTTGGAAAGACTGTAAAAGCCAGATGTGGTGGGTAACACCAAGGAAGCAGTGTTAGCCAGATACAGCGAGACTGATGCAAATACGAACTAACAGAGACTGCGACAGTATCCACAGGGCCTGTATGGTTCAAGCCAGATGGGGTCCCAACATTAAGAAGGGAAAGTAGACCTGTTTCTCCACCCCTAAGCAAGAAACTGTCAGCAATTGGAACCTACTCACAAGGGAAAAGTAAGTCTCCAATGGAGGCTCACTGGGTAAAGATGGCCAACACAAACTAACCCAATAGTATTTTTGTAGACTTTTTTGTCTTATATTTCTTTCTTTAGGATTTTTTTTTTTTTGGCCTTTTGCTTGTATTCTGCCTTGGAATTTTGTGTATGTATGTATGTGTTGTGTGTGGAGGGCGAAGAGATTCCTGTTTGTTTTTTAAAGAGAGAGAAAAAGAAAGGGTGTGGAATTGGGTGGTTTGGGAGGTAGAAGGATCTTGGAGGAGTCAGGAGAGGGGAAAGCATGATCAGAATATTTTGTCTAAACTTTTTTTTTTCAACTAAAAAAAAAAAAAAGCCCAACTAAACACAAAGAAGGTTTCCATGAAAACAATATTGTGTCCTGCTGAAGCATCAGGAACTAATTTTTTTTTTGTACTTAAAATTTTTATTATTTTATTTTATTTTTTGGTATTTCTTTTTCTTTTACAATTTATTCATTATATATCCTGATTGAAGCCTCCTCCAACTTCTCCCAGTCCCACCCTTCCTCCTTCTTTTCCCCTATCCCCTTCCTCTAGTCCACTGAAAGGGGGAGTTCTCTTCCTCTGCATCTGCTCATAGCTTATCAAGTCTCAACAGGACTGCCTGGATCCTCTTCCTCTGTGGCCTGGCAAGGCTGTATCAGCAAGGGCAAGCAGGCAACCAAATTCACGACAGAGGCAGCCCCTGCTCCCCTTACTTGGGAACCCACATGGAGACTGAGCTGTCTAAAGACTCTGATATTCCATCTTACACCCAGCAGAATGGCTAAGATAAAAAACTCAAGTGACAGCACATCCTGGAGGGGATATTGAGAAAGGGGAACCCTCCTCAATTGCTAGTGGGAGTGCAAACTTGTACAACCACTTTGGAAATCAATCTAGCACTTTCTCAGAAAATTGGGAATAGAACTACCTCAAGATCCAGCTATAGCACTCCTGGGAATAAACCCAAAAGATGCCCCACCATTTAATAAAGACATTTGCTCAACTATGTTCATAGCAGCTTTATTTGGAGTAGCCAGAATCTGGAAACAACCTAGATATCCCTCAACAGAGGAAGGGATACAAAAATTATGGCACATTTACACATCAGGAACTAATTAACGTACTAAGCAGAGGAGATGAACCTTGAGAAGGTGATTCAAGTGAAATATCAAGGCCACCACTGTGGGAAGCAGTAAAATGGTAGCAAGAGGGGAAACTCTAAACCTGACGGGTCCTCTGGAGGACATTTGTACTAGGCCTCAACCAAATAAATTGTTCTTTAGAGTTTGTGGAGTGGACAGTCTAACTAAATACCCCAGAACTGAAATAGTCCAAAAGTGATTTTTCAATGACATTTAATTCATGACTGATATGTTTGAGATCACTGAGGTCACTGCACTATACAACGTGTCTCCTGTCCCAATCACTGTGTTCTTGGAAGCGGTTTACCTCAAGTCCAGAAATGGAAAGGTCAAGCAGACTATGTCTTAAGGATTCCTGGTAAAAATAGTTTTTATCATCTGTCCTTTGGCTTTATTCTCTGAAAACTCTGGAGTAGACCGGCAGACATTATTATTCACATTTAGAAGGGATCAGCACTGGACTGTTGGAAAATCCACAGTAAACAGAAGAGTAAAACACAGGCCTCCTAACTTCTGAAGCCAGCTCCTTATCTGCCCACTTTCCTCGACTTGGCTTCTGGTGTCATTGGCTCGCTCAATGATGCTCCAACTTTCCCAGGAAAGCCAGATTTTTCACTCAAAACAGCTTCCACTGAGTCATTTTGGCACAGAGTAGATTTTACCAAACCCCTTACAAGGGAAAGATCTGGATAGCAAGTGGCTTATTCCAGGCAGCACCAAGAAGATGATGCCTCCCAAATCTCAGGTCCATGAACATCTGCTCTGAGCTCCACCCTCCAACCAGACAGTCCTTCGCACTATCTTCTCTGCTGGAAAACTTCTCCCACTTGCTTGTATTTGGGACATTTCACTGAGAACAGCGAAGGTACAATGAGAATCCTGTCACAGCGTGAGGTTTTTTTCCTGTTCCAGGGGCAAAGAATTGGCAGTATAATCCATACCAGAAAGAGAATTAATTCAAATTCCTAGCACAGGTTGTCATGGGGAGATGGTACCTCCATTTTCCCACCCATCTAAGGGCGTATATATTCTGGTGTCATTTGAGGCTTGCTGGGAACAGTAACTACACTTATTTCTTTTTCTACAAGAAAGTCTTCTGGTGCTATTAGTCTTTTTTTTTTCCCTGAAAAAAAAAATAGGGCATGCTTATCAATAATATTTAGAAAATAGACAAGCTTAAAACACAAAATACTTAACACCCATAATCTACTACTCAGAGATAATTACTGTGAGCACTTTGATATCTGTCTATTCTCATAATTTTATATGTGTATGTTTCCTTGATATT